TTATAGGGGGGTCGACTGTATAAATAAAAATAATTAATTCTAGATCTGAGTTATATTTTCTTCATAGAGAATTCTTAATTTTATATAAAAACAATTATAAATTTATTGTGTGTTATCATCTATTATTTATTATTACAGATATTTTCCATATATCTATAATAATAATATATAAATTTATTTTATGATTAAAATTAATATTCCATAATAATAAATTTGTTGTAATCATCATTAAAGATTGATGACATCATTTTTGCATTCAATATTTAAAACCTATCAATTATTTTATATTTAATGTATTCAAATGGAGCAGTTTTATTAGATGAAAAATACTATTTGAAACATTAGGTAAGTTGGTTAATCTAAAACACTATCTTAAAAGAAAACTTTTCCCTACCTATGGTTATAGAAGGAAAGGCCCTCATTGCCCTGATGGCCTTTTCTTCCTTTACTGTTCTTACATACTCATTGTGGGTTTGGCCTGGTTTAGCCAGCCGGATAATGAGAAACAGTCCCTACATACCATACCAGGATAGACCACCCACGAAAAATTCCTAGAGAGTTGCTCACCTGGATTCTATGACATTCTCTGGAGTGGTAGGTTGATACCTTGGCCATCAGTTATCAGATTCTTATACTGATGGATTTGAATTATTTTAGAAATATATTTGATTGTTATCTCAGAAAAATGAGCTGTTTAATTCAAAAAATGTAATGACTTTTTTAAATGAAAATATTCTAATTTCATTTATTAAAATAGATACATTTTAATATTTTTCTAAAAGGAAGCATAAAATAAAGATTAAAAAAGTAACAAATTTTACAACATAAATTTCCTTGTGATAGAGAAAATACAATATTTTTGTAAATAGTTTTATGATGGCTAAGACATTGATAAAAAATACACATCTAACATATAAACTTTGTTAAAAACACCCAGGAAGACTAAAATCTAAACTGAAAGTATGCTTGGGTGTAGCATTTTAAAAATTTGGCACATTATCAGAGAAATGTAGGTTTTGTTTCTGAATGTGATATAAATGCTTCCCTATTTGAGACTGTCTAAAACAAATGCTGATTCAAAACTAATTTATGCATTGAGCATTATATCAATATTAATATATACTGTAATTTTATGTTTGCTTCAAAATCCAAATATGTACATAATTTAAAATAATTTATCTCAAAAAAACTGAATGTAAAAATGAATATTGTAGTAATTTGTAAACGAATGAATTAAATCTGCGTAAATAAATTTTCTTTCTTTAAATTAAACATATTTCATAAATTGGAATCATAATTATATTATTTTTGTTTAGGTGACAAAAGAAGAATTTTTGAATTATTATGCCGGAGTAAGCTCATCAATTGATACTGATGAAGATTTTGTAGAGATGATGAAGAGTGCATGGAAACTTTAAATTCATGCATAACTTTTGTGTTTATATAAAAAATTAATCAAATGTTTTGTTTTCAAAACAATTCAATATCTTATTTTTATATATATATTTTATCTATATGGTTTTACTTTCTTTTACAGTTAGATTTCATATTATACTCATTAGATATAATTTTATTATATTGAAATTTTTTTATATTTTTGTTAAATATTTTTGGATGTTTTAAAATTTATTTTAATCTTAAAATTTATCTAAAGACAATCAACTTAATCAACTTAAAAATCTGGTTCATGGTAGTTTGAACCAAAACTGATAGAAAACTTTAAAATGTGATATTTTTTTAGACTAAATTATATCAGAGTAACTTAATAGAGAGGTTGCGGCCGACGTTTTCATTGTGAAAATGTGTACATCAGACATTCAGCACTGCTTTCCTGTAAGCCTAGAAGTTTGAAAATGGCATTTGGAACGTTAGTGGAATCATACTCAACATATCAAACGCCATTGTCAAACTTCTAGGCTTACAGGAAGGCGGCGCTGAATGTCCAATGTACACGTTTTCGCGATGAAAACGTCAACCGCAACCTCTCTAATGAATGGGGGAAGTATTTTTTCATAGTGCTGCTATTTACCAAACATACTGCCTTAAAAATTCATATCCTAAATATTGCAGTAAACTTGTTGTCCAATAAAATAAATTTTAAATTGTAAATTCAGATTTATCTATTCAGAAATAAAATATTTTTTTTAATATTAATTTATGTCTGTTGTTTAAATATGATAAATATTTTCTATTTATATACTAGTGGACATTATGTTTTTGCTTGGGCAGTGCCAGACATAATTCAATAGTTTCCTGCATAACTATATACTTTACTATGTAATGATTATATGTAAGCAAGCATTGCATTTCATAGTAATTAATTAAGAACAATGGAATTTATCTTAATTGTTATTCTTGTTGTTTATATATCTTCCATTAAATAGTGTAACTATTAATGGAAGGTATATTATACAGTATATCTTCTATAAATAGTATACTACACAAATACAAATAATCAGAGGGAAGGAGAGTTTCTTGACTTCATCCCTCCTATTAAACCCTTTGACCAGACAGATCAGTCAAAGGTTTAGGACCATAATAGTGAATCTTTTTTCAAAGATGGATCAAAATTTAATTCAAACTCTTAAATCATGGGCTAAATATTTAATTTAAAATAACCATTTAAAAATGCTCACAAATTTTTTAAACTTATAATCTATATGACAAAAATAACATTACACTTGTATAGTTTAATGTGATTAATGGAAAGTTTTGTGTATTTGATGTTAGACATTTGCTTTTAGTTTTAATTTTTTATCTGTGATTATAATTTGTAACCTTATAAGACTGGGACAGCTTTAGGACCTCAATTTCATATTAAAATCAGATATTTTTAGAAAGTATTATTTATAAATTACTAGCAGATAAGCCCAGGTTGCCTGGACTAAAAAAAAAAAACATTAACACAAATCATATAGAGAGTTTGGTGATTTCAGCTTATTGTTGTCATGCTTATCATGATACTTAGTTGATACAAAATGGTACACTTTCATTGGTCAAGTAAACATTTTTTTCTAATGTTAAGATAGGAAGTGAAAATATTTTATCTTAAAAAATTTAACTCTAATGTACTGTACCATTTCACATCCGAATATCAAATGGTAATCTGACAACAAATCAAATACTTAAACTCTTACCCCCAAAAACATCTTTTGTGTTCTCTGGTAATTTTGTATTATGTAATTTTCAGCAAATGACATGTGGGCGATCTGCCATGGGGAATGCCTCCCAGGAGGAGTTTTATGGAAAATTGGCCCCATTTAAGTATTACTAACTTGACGAAAACCCATAAAATGCCACATGGCCAGCTCGTTGCAATACATGAATCCACGATCAATTACCAATGTAACAGTTTTGATTCCATGTAGGCAAGTGCTGTGCTACTCATCAAAGTACAGTAATAACATAGCATATCTACTTTGTACTATATTATTGTTATAGTAATTAAGTGGGGGAAATATTAAGTTATCCTTTTTTGTAAGAATTATATTTAATTTATTATTTTTTAAATTTTTTTGCCAATAGGTGACACTACATGTAAATCCAGCTAATCCAATATAAACAAAAATTAATATATAGAAATCCAATAAGTATTTTGGAGCAATATATATGACATTATCTAAGTTGGTAGTATGTTGACCTTATTGCTGAGTTTCGTAGCAATTGGTCAAATGGCCTAGGAGTGCATAGCAAACATTCTCCTTTACAGATATAAACATACAAAATGATTTCAACTTATCTGCATTGAAAATCAGATTTACCATAACAGGTTTAGGAGTTAATAAGGGAATGAAATCAAGGTATGGGATGAAGTAACGTATATTTTCTACAGGGTCCTAGAGAGTAATTATGAAAAATTTAGTCCAGATTTATCAAGGGGTTTAGAAGTGTATAGAGAACAGACAATATTTATTTCATTACGTATGATTTCTGCCCTTACTATTTAATGAATCTTAACTGTGGAAATTATAATCATCTAAACAAATTAAATAAAATTAAGAGATCATTATCATCATAAATTTAATATTTCCATTCAAAATCAATCATCTGAAAGTTAACTTATTTTGTTAATTATTAATTTATAAGTGTGACTTAGTTTTGATTATTTTTGAAATATTGCTCTAGTTTTTTAATATGCAAAAATTAGTTTTGAATTATAATGGCTCCAATTGTTTTAAAAATTGTAAAGACAATCTAATTGGAGAATAATAGATTATCTTTGGATAAATTGTATATATGTAGTCTATCTTAGCCATAAGAATAAAACAGCAATTCAATAATAAAGTTTGAAAAGAATAGATCAATAGCTTCAAGCAGATTTGCTTGAAATAAATTCTACAATCATGTAAAGCACTAGCTGTTACCCATGATTTCGCCTGCATGGATTTTGCAATTTGATAGTGAAGTACCAAGGGAAGGTTATTTCTAAAATTCTCAATCATTAGTTGTTACTAATTTGGTAAACTTACAGATTTTTGTTTGTTTCAAACTATAGACTGCTAATGCACCTAAATTCAAGTTTCAAATATTATGGGATTCCATGATACGATAAATGTGAGTTTAATTTTTTATTTTAAACATAAATGATGTTATCTGAAAATTCCTACTGTATAAATATTTACAGAAAATAGTTTGTTATCCCAGTACCTCTTTGTAAACCACATTTGTGGTACTGCCTTTTGGGGCTGACATTTTAAGCCTTAATCCTCCTCCTTTCCCCCACAGTGGAATTTCCAAAAATCCCTTTTTAGTGTGCATTCTCATGGGATACCCTAGTTAAAAACAAAAAATCACATCTAAAATAGTACAGTAGAAGCCGTTCTTCAGGTTAAGCCTTAATTGGGGGAAATCCCTTATTAGTGTGCATATTTATGACGTGCCCTAACTGTGAACCAAATTTCACCTCTTTATAGGTTCAGTGGTTTGCTCTGGGCAATGATGGATCAGTCAGTCAGGACATGTAATTTTATATATATAGATTTCACATCATTAGGATTTTGAAAGTTGCATTCTAATATTTTATTTTCCAACAATATTAAGAATATTTTACTCATTCAACATCAGTCTTCTCAGATAAATTTTTTTTGTCATCATTTTAGTAAATGTCATATAAATATCCATATTTGGAAGATAGTCAATGTGATATTTCAGNTTGCATTCTAATATTTTATTTTCCAACAATATTAAGAATTTTTTACTCATTCAACATCAGTCTTTTCAGATAAATTTTTTTTGTCATCATTTTAGTAAATGTCATATAAATATCCATATTTGGAAGATAGTCAATGTGATATTTCAGAAAGTGCTGTATAATCAGTTCTGTATAATTTTGGTGATAAATATATCATCATAATGCAAGGCTTGTTTTAAAACAGTATTCTCATTTTCCAATTAAGTCCCAATATCATAAAAATTCATTAAAGGTCCTACTATAGAAATCTTTGAAAATAAATTAGTAAAATCATGTAGAAACATTCATGCCAATGAAAAGTATTTGATAAAACTGCAATCATAATCAAGAAGTATTTTTGAGGATCACTATATACAGTACTGATTCACATCATACAACAATAAAAAGAAATTTCTGAATTTTAAACTTGAGTATGGGATGAAGTAATGTATATTTTCTACAGGGTCCTAGAGAGTAATTATGAAAAATTTAGTCCAGATCTATCAAGGGGTTTAGAAGTGTATAGAGAACAGACAATATTTATTTCATTACATATGATTTCTGCCGTTACTATTTAATGAATCTTAACTGTGGAAATTATAATCATCTAAACAAATTAAATAAAATTAAGAGATCATTATNAATTCGAATACGAATTCAAATTCGAAAATTTTTAAAATCGAAATAGAAAATCTTCCACTTTCAACACTAGCTGTTACCCGCGGCTTTGCCCGCGAGGATTTTGCAAGCAAACCCCATTTATATTCAGTATTTCAACAACCATAGTAATTGTTATATAATAACTACTGACGAGAATTGCCAAGAATCAAACAAACTGTTTTTAATTTGATCAATTTTCTAGAACGTTTACAATTGTTCTATAATCGAACCAATATGCAGTAACAAATTCGAATTTAAAACAGTTCGAACATTTTAAAAATCTAAATAGATAACATTTCAGACATTGTTATAAATATTTTTATCAATTTAATACACCTAAGTACTCAATGAAGACTAAAACATAGTTGAAAATGAAAAATCGCATCTAAAATAGTACAGTAGAAGCCATTCTTCCGGTTAAGTCTTAATCCTCTCCCTCTCTCCCCGGCAGGGGAATTTCAAAAAATCCCTTCTTAGTGTGCATTTTCATGACGTATCCTAACTGTGTACTAAATTTCACTTCTTTAGGTTCAGTGGTTTGCTCTGGGCGGTGACGAGTCAGTCAGGACAAGCAATTTTATAGGCATTTCTATTTTTATATTAATTGAAAATCCAAAACAGGTTTTAGTTTATTTTATCTGGGACTATTTTTTAGCTGAAATTATTATTCCTATTGAGAAATTCCAAATGAGTGTGGATGCTAATTGAACAATCTGCATCTTGTCAATGATTGCCTATATTACAACTGTTACCAGTTGTAATTTCCCCAGTAATCTGGCATCTCTTGGGTTACAAGTTCTCTATAACAAAGTGGCAGGTTTACTTTTCTCCTTAATTTACTAGTTCTTCCTTGCACATTCTGAAACATCCTGTAATCTAGAGTTCTCATCTTTCTCCTGGACTTCCTGTTATCAGTTTATTGATCTGCAATATTCAGTTTCTGAAATGTCATTGGCAAAAATGGGTTTTAGATGTATCATCACTGATACACTCCTTAGTCTTATAGATTACAAATTACTTAGTATTTAATTAGAAGGGCATCCTCTTTCCATCCTCTAGACAAGCAGGCAAGTTACAGGTTTGAGTCCCCCTCTGGGCCAATTCTTTTCTTCCAGAAAATTCTAAATTAAATTAAATTTATTCTAGCACAAAATAATAGTATAACTGCCTACCTCTAAACCCTGATAGTACTGATATTTCAATGAATTTTGAGTAATAGTCAACAACCACTAAATAATGAAATTCCTTATCCTCTTCAGGTTCACTGAGAAGAAGTTTTTGTTTGAAATTCTTACTTTAGTATAAATTTTTGATATTCTGCTGT